CGCCGAACAATCGCTGATTATTCAACATGAATTTCCAAATACTTTCTTGTTCGTTGGTTGGTGTAGTTTCTCTAATATCTCCCTAACATTCATGGTTTTTGTTGGGTAAATCCACACAAACTTGGAGAAACCATCAACGACAACAAAGAGATATTTATACAGCTTCGACGTCGTTGTTATCGGTTCGAAGTGATCCACATGATACGTTGACAGAGGAGTATCCTTTTTTATTATATTATTGGCCTAAGCTCGCCCTCCTTCTTTCCTCGTTTCTTCTCAGCAAGAATATATGGTATATATTAGCTCACGTACTTTTCAATTTTTTCCATTAATTTGGTAGTATTGGATGTAGTATTCATTCTGGATATCTTCCGACATTTTCTTGACTCTGAAATGGCCGTTATCATGTGTTTTGCGCATTATATCGTGATGCATGCTGGAAGATAACACGATAACGTCTTTATCCCTCACTCTCTTCAGAATACCATTCTTGCAATTGTAGTCCTCGTAGGGTTCTTTTTTTAAGACCTTAATAATTCGGATCCTCTCCTCTTTATCTTCTTGTTTGCGAACGTGAATATATCGTTTGCGATCATTACTGAATAGCAATTGAATGCGTCAACATGCCGGAGACGAGTTCCTGAGCGATGCTCGATCTCATAATCAACTCCTCCAAGATCAACCATCTTGCGATCTTTGGGTACTAGGAATCTTCTCACACTTTTTACTTTCGTCGGTGAAGAATCAATGTAACCATTTTCTATTACGTCCCAAGTATTCGACACGTCTCTTGAGAAATTTGCACTTCTCCCAATTGATGACGAGCCCTGGTTCAGCTACAACGGTAAGCGTCTCTTTCAAGTTCGCCAGTGGCTTCGGTCTTTCCGGGTATTATTAAGTCATCCATATATGTGAACATGATGTTCCTTCGACTGAGATTGCGGAAGACTTCATCAATAAACCGCAGAAATGATGTAGGACTATTGCATAATTCAAACGAAGTCTTGAGGAATTCGTATTGGCCGTCGGGTGTAGCAAATGATGTGTACTGACTCTCAGCAGCGACCGGAACGTGGAAAAAGCCATTCTCTAGCACTGAGAAAACTTGAGCATTGACTAATGCATTGATATGATCATCGATTAAAGGCATGGAGCCTATCACGGAGTTCCGATTCAGTTGTCGGTAATCCACACAGACCCAGTACATTCCATTTTTTTTTCGGCACGATTACTGGGCTTGAGTATCTGCTGCTGCTTTGCTGGATGACGCCGTCGCGCAACCAATCTTCAAGTTATGCATTCAGGATAGCCTTCTCCTTTACCGGCGAGGCTTCAAACAGACTGGCGTCTCATCTTGTAGTATGATCTTTGTCTTTCGACACTAGTCTAATTGTTCTCGGTTTCGGCACGTAGTTGTCGATTAGCTGCTGTATCTGATGGCGACTGTTCGTCGACATCTGTGTGGTTCACTTGCGTATAATTTACTGCGCCTAGTTCCTCCCTTACGCTTCCTCGTAGATCCCCTGACTCTTACTTCGGTTTCCATCTTCCTCACGATTGTCTTCCTTAATATTATCCTTCTTTCCTTTTTTCTTTTCGCGGTTGTCTTTGCTATTTTCCTTCTTCTCTTCTTCGTTATTATTGTTTTCTCCGTTGTTCTACTTTCTCTTTTCTTTTTTACTGTCTTCGTTATCCTCTCTTTTCTTTTCATCTTTACTGTTGTTATCTCTCTTTTTTCTTTTTTTTTTCTTTACTATCGTCGTCTTTGTTGTTTTCCTTTCTCTTTTCTTCTTTATTGTCTTTGTTATCCTCCTTTTTCCTTTCTTCTGCATCTTTCTTCGTAATATCATACTCCAACTTCTTAATGGAAAGCATGCCGCCCTTCATCCGAATATCCATCTGCCTTATTAATCCTTTTCCTAGCAACATCCTCTCATCCATTACGTTGTCAGGCACCACATGTATTCTGTCTTGTACCGATCTCGCTAGATCATTAGGTCTGCCCGAAAAATACTAATCAGCGTTACCTGAGATCTTTCTAGTCCATAGAAAATGGGATATCATATTAATGGGTGGGCTGCCAATCCGCTGATATTCGCTGTACTTCAATAGCGTACAATGATATCATTGGCGTATCATTGATATTATTGGCGTGTCGTTTATTACGACTGTTATTTCATCTATTCTTCTTTGGTACTTTTATTGGTACGCTCACACTTATCACGTTCACCTTCCGGTCTTTCTTCATTATCTCACTGGAGTTGTCACATTTCGCTGCAATGTGTCCAAACTGATTGCACTTAAAGCATTTCGATCTTTCGTCTTTATGTGAACAATCACGTGCTGCATGCTCACTGGATCCACAGCTAAAGCATCTTATCTCCTTCCGTTCCTTTTGATTAACTTTCTTTTCACTCTTATCTGCATTTTTCCCTTTAGCAGCCTTAGATTGCTCCTTTCGCGATTTCTTGTCCGATTTCTCCTTCATTAAATCGAAGTGTTCCAAATTTTTTCTCGACTATGTCAGGATATCTGCTCCATAGAGAATGCTTTTATTGTCCTCCTCATCAGATATTCCATCTCTATTTCCATATTTCAGATAATATATTGAATAAGTGCTTCTTCCTCTATGTCGCCTTGACTCGCTATCGTCTGCATCGCGTACATATATTGTCGCGGTATCTCATTTGACTGTCTCTTTCGTTTAATCAACTGTGCATGTACTATAACACTGTTATGCTTTGTTTCGAACTCACTCAACAGACGCTTCTTCATCAATCTCCAGGTAGTTATTCCTTTCGGTAGCAATATAAACTGTTTTGCTGAGTCTCGCAGCTTTTTCGCGTAGTCAATTTTTTGTAGGTTATTCCATTGCAGCAGTTCACTCATGTCCTCGAATTCGTTTATCCACCGTTCAACTTTCATCCGATCATCTCCCGAGAAATGACTAACACTTCCTTCAATATCCCTTATCGTGATCACATTTGCTGTTCTTTGTGGTATTATTGTGTATCACCTCTGGCTGATCATCTTCATGTGTTATTGTTCGTGTTTTGTCTCTTCCACCTTTTACATATTCTGATCGGTTCCTCTTCTGATTCTTCTTCGTTTTCTTTCTCATCGTCTGAATTTTTGATATTTTGGATAACCTCGGTATCGCTGTCGACGTTGCTTTCTTCGCGCGCCTGCTCGTAGTTTTTCAACTGTAAATCCGCCTTATTTCTCATGGTTGATAATTTCAACTTGCGCAACTGCTTTTTGAGCTCTTCTATAGTGATCTTCTTTACCAGCGTAGAAGTCACGAATCTCGGTTTCGCGCCATCTCCGGTGCTTTTCGCGTCTTCTTCACCGTTTCGCTTTGTGTTCTTTGTCTGATCGTCTTTCTTCATCTTTATTCATCGACAGCTATCTCGATCGGTTAGCGTCTTAGCTTCCTGCTTTCAGTTTAACGACCGTAAGCTATCTTTTTCGATACGTTTCTAAATCTTTGGCTCCTTGTTACCCTGCGACGTAATCGAGCAACTTGACCGCCTGAACGACTTAAACGACTTTTACTTTCACGTCTTGTTAACTCTGGTGTCACGTGCAGAGACACGATTGCCCGACTTTATCACTCTTCGTATTCACGACTTCTGTTATTCGTGTTCTCGCGATCCTGGACGAGTCCTCAATTACACACATTTAATAATAGCGAATATTTATCAAAATCCTACATTTATTAGATTTATAAATCTAATCATTTTCACAATTTTTACAACTTACAACACAAGAAATCGAAACTTCGATACATAATTCTAATTCGCACGTCTGTATGAGTCGCTCGTATATATGTATATACACGCTTGATATTTTTACTCTAATGTTTCTTATTTTTTTTATTTAGTCTAAATATTATATTCATGTTTTTATTATGTTATTATATTTTGAGATCTAACAGTGCCAAATATTTTTAAAAAATTCTATTTAAATAAAGTGGAATAGGAAGATTCTTCAATAGGAATACAAATATACATATTTAGATTTAATCGCAAAAAAAAATTAAAGATAGTATCAACTGGATTATATTCTTTATTTAATTTGATATGGGATTTAACTTAGTCAAATGTTGATATTAAATTTTTTACATAAATAATATATATAATATATATATATATATATATATATATATATCACTTAGGTTGAGAAAATGGAATTATCTTTGCGCCAGTTATTGATATTCAACCTTTTATACAAATAATATACATACATCACTTAAGTATTACAAAGTAAATTTTGTGATATAATAATTTTTAAGTAATAATTTTTGAAAAAAAATTAGAGCTGTACTTGGGTTGAAATAGTAATATTATGCTTATATTGAAATATATAGGAATCCAGTATTGAATTTCTAATGCACCGTTTATAAATCTCTACTTCGAAGTTTCTCAAAAAGAAATATTACTTATGGATTTAGAATAAGTTCCTTTCTTTTTATTATACAATAACTACTAATTTTTGCATAAAACCGCTAATAAATTTGGTGATTTATAGTATTAGTGATTTATTGGTGATTATTGGTAATTTATAGATTATTTTGTCGCTGAAAAATTTGCAAATAACATTGCAAATAACTTATTTCGTCACATTTTTCAAACATTTTAATTCAAAGGTAGATATCAATAAATGACAATTTCGGCACTTTTAAGTTCAATTTTTTTTTAAGTGTGATATGATAGAGCAATTTCGTTTCTAGATTCATATGCATGTGTTTCTGGCGTGATAAAAATCTATAAAAATTATTTTGTCCAGTCTATGGTCTACAAAAGAAAATTTAAATTGTCGGCAATGTAATCGGTGCGCATTTTGCATGAACTGGAAATTGTAAAATTTACACGAGAATATTATTAGACTAAGACCCGCCTTGTCTAAATATGATTTCATTTGTTTATTTATATTGAAAAATTATAATAATGTGCATTACATATTAAATTAGAAAAATGTTCTATAAAAAAAATTAATACCTTGCGTAATTGCTGCTACACATCTTTCGTGAACAGGAGAACCAGGAATACTCGCAGGACTGTGTGAAGGTGATGCTAATCTTTGTAACTGTTGATATTCTTGCTGAAGTGCTTGTATGCCTGGTCCAGGTGCACCTGATCCTTCCGATGCCCGACGAACAGGTGAGTATCTTTCAGTAGCAACATGGCTGCTTGGTTCCTTATACGAATCCCTATTACTTACTAAAATTAATATACACATTCGTGTACGTGTGCGTGTGTAAATTAAAAATTATTCACCTAATTTGCATAAGAACACTTAATAATAAGAAAATATTTTTTTTTAATTCTGTGAAATACCTCTCTCACACTTACAAGATGAAAATTATTCTTATCTCTCTGAGATCAGAAAAAAATTGACACCTATTGTCAAAATTTCTTTTTGTTTGAATGAAATATATTGTATACTCGTATTATTTTGTACATTATACGCACATTGCGATCCATAAATTTTGAAATTGATTATTTTATGGTAATGAGTAGCGCCATCTATAAATTATTGCCCGAACAATATGCGCGATTCTTAGCTTATATGCAAAATTTAAATAATCTACAATTAGCTGTATATTGATTGTATATTGTTTTACATAGCTTATTGATTTAATATGTTATAAATTGAAAAAAAAGAGCAACATATCATTATAGAATTTTGTTTTAACCGATTTATCAAACAAGTGTTCGAAATGATGTAAAAAAATTTATGGAAATGAAAATTAAATCGAGCAAATATCTTTCGATAGCATGCCAGATTTCGTGAAGAGATTCTCGTAATCTCTTTAGAATATATACTACTGAAAGTGAAATTGCCTATGTCATCCATGTACTAAACGTGAAGCCGCCAACATCTGTTACTATACGAGAGAGAAAACTAGACAGTCTCAAATGTTCGCAATGTGCATGAGTCAGTACTGTCATTTGTATGAATTGTACAGTTATTTTAGTGATTTTTACACATTGATATTGTTAATTTCAGAGATTTCAGGTTATGTATCTTAGACAAAATGATAACAATATTAATTTAATCTATTGTATTTAATAAATTAGTGTTAGAATGAACTTTAATATAAGAATACATATAAGGTTAAAGTAAAATTGATTCAAATATTCTTATAAATTCTACAAAATAACAGCCATTTTTCACAAAATTTTATATTTTTCAGAAATCTTTAAAAAAAATAAATATAATATATTAAATATTATATATTAAATATCAATAACATTACATATCAATAAACCTATATGTTGTCACATAATTGATGCCTACATAAAATATTTCAGAAATTAACTTAAGTGTAATAAAAAACCAAATTATCACGATTATCACACACTATACAATATTTGTAAGGCATTTTTTATTACGCTAAATTCGTTTTTTACTTTGACTACAAATGTACGAACGAAGTGAAACGCGGGCAAACAAGTTAAGTGGCACATACGCATTACAGTCAACTGGGAGTCTAATTTTCTCTCTTGCACAGATGCTGGTTTCAGCGCTCCATTCTACTTCTAGTAGTACAATGAACAGTAACAGTAAAATATCAAATCAATGCTGATTCAACGTCGCTCGATGTTGAATTAATATCAATTTTATGTCGAGCGACGTTGAATTAGTATTAATTTGACGTTGATCGATCAACTATTTCTGGTTAGGCCGAAAAACCAGTTTACTCCCAACGTGTCTATAGCCTCTACTGCTATTGCTCATTGTAGACGACGCTTAACGGAGACGACTCTAAGGCCGGTATTCATAGTCGGTTCTTATTTTAGAGAGTTAAGATGTTAAGTCTTATTTTAAGATGTTATGAACCAATCAGAGGGTCGCATTAGCGACTTAAAACATTACTTAAGACGGTCTTGAAATAAGAACTGTCTATGAATACCGGCATAATCTCTCATTTTTCTTCAGTACGTCATGAATTCAAAAGAACAACGTATCGCTGTAAAATTTTGTTTTAAAGTCGGTTTATATCTGCCTAACAAACTTTTTAAAAGCTTATGGAATAAAGCATTAATGTACATTTCCAATGTAAATTAACTTTAATCAACTTATTCTTCATCTTTTCTAGTTCTAAAAATTAGGAAAAGCTGAAGAGAAAGTTGAACCAAGGTTAAAGTTAATCTACATTGGTGAAAATGAACATAAGTGCATTAAATGAATATTTTCCAATGATATGCTAGATTTCATAAGTGAGAGGTTGTGGGAATTTCTTCCTTCACAAAATTGGCATGCCATCGAAAATTATTTGCTCGAATTAATGTTTTTTTTATAAATCTTTTGGATCATTTTAAACGTTTGTTTGGTACTCTTCTTTTAACGTCCTTTTTTCGAAATCAGGACATATCGAATAATGCGACACTGGGCGTGTACATTTTATAACTCAAACGAGATCAGCTATCGTAGCCTAACTAATCGTTTAAAATATTATACAATACATATTTAGCAAGATTAGAAACATTATTTCATAAAAAAAGTAATTTTACAGAAAGAACTCGTTACCATCATCCCCCGTTTACTCATTATAAAAAAATATCTCATTACTGTTATCGTTATTGTTAAGAACGTAGAAAGTAATAATTTAGAAATAATAATTTATACTTAGGAAGTAATAATTTGTTTGAAAGATATTAGATTTTAAAATTGTAATATTTAATGATGAATATTAAATTTAATAATTAATATTAGAATAAGACTCTACTAAACTAGTCTCCAAACATTTTTAAACTTATTTCGATAAATTTTCTATAATTATTCATATATTTTTGTTTCTTAATATGCACAGTAGTCCATTTTAATACAAGTAGAATTTCAAATCCGATTAATCCGAATAATTAGAAAAAACACATAGTTGCATATTATGTATGCAAATCGCAAAATGCATAATTTTTTTAATAAACAATTATGTGTTTTCTTTATATCAACTGATTTGTTTCATTATTCTGTGTATAAAAATATTAAAATATAATTATAAAAAAATTTTTCGATAATTTTTCAATATCTCTACCTTAATATTTTTACAAGCAGAATATTTAAAGAAATCAAATTATATAAAAACTATAAATTCCGTTTAAAAAATTTTAGGTAACCTCGACCTTAAAGGTCTTCTCAAAGTCAACTAAGACCATTATCTTCTTTTCTCTAATAACTGAGGAACTTTCATTTTCTAAGTGGAACATTTTTGTTTTAAGCATAAGGATTTTGAGATATTCTATTGGATAGATTAAAATAGACCATCCTGTATGTACTTAATAAAAATATACATTATAATTTACAAATTTAATTAAAAATTCTTATTGTTATTAAATAATATTCTTATTATATAAATAATAAGTTTCTAAACATTATCATATTGTTATTAAGAGTGCTCACCAATATTCATTATCAGTATTGAATAATTCACGTTATATATGAACAGTATTTGATAATAATTATGGGAATGCAGCTTAAAACATAAAATACAAAATACAAATTTCAATGTTTAAATTTCTATTTAAATAAAATATTTCTATCCAATCAAAAATAATACGATATATTTTTGTAATAAATATAAAGATAATAGGGAAGTAACGATAAAAGTAATTTCTGAATTCATTACAGTTATTGTAAAAATGCAATAACGTTAATATTACCATTACAGAAAAAAATAACGATAATAGTAATGGCATTACAATAATGCGTTATCCTGTGATCATTAATTAGACATAGAATCGATATCAAATTAGAACTTATCATATTGATGTTTCGCTGATTGCTTCCCAATTCTGATAATTAGTTAAGAATCACGGGAACATTATCCAAATTTATGGATGTGCATATGTACACTTATGCGTATATGGCTATGATTAAAAAGTATCGAGACTGATAATAAAAAAACTAATAATAAAACACAAACTATGAATTTATATATTCAATTTATTTAGTTCCTTCAAAATAATCCCCTTTTAATACATTTATGCCAATGTTTCTTCTAACTTTCGAAATACTTTTTCAATCAATTTTAGGTATAGCCTTCAGAACGCGCAGCGAATTCTCTTTTTTTCATTCGATTCAATTCGCATCAATCGATTCAAAACGGTGTTCACAAACTAATCCACGTTTTTACAACAATGCAAAACGCATCTTACGCCCAAATTATCTTTCAAAATCAATTGGAATAAACCAAATGATATTCCAACACGTTTAATCATATCTCGAATTGTTAATCGTATTAATAATCACTAAATCTTTGATTTATTTTGATGTATTGCTCATCTGTTGAAATGAAAGGTCCTCCAGAGCGATCTTCGTCTTCAATGTGTCTTTGAACATTTTATATCATTCAAAAATCCTTATTCTTGACATGCACTTATCATCGAAACACTTCCGCAACACAAAATTTCATTCCAGAAACAAAATTTTATACAAATTCCTTACTCAACGAAAATCGACATGTTAAAAATCATTAGCAATTTATAGATTAAGAAAGGTAATGATGTAAAATTTTTGGCACAAAGTAGAAACAATTCTACTTAATAAAAAAAATATGTTTCTTCGATATGTTCGAAGCGCGCAGTTTAAATGACCCAATCCCGATACTTTTTAATTATAGTAATACATTACATTGTCGCATGAGAGCACGTCTATTACATGATGCAAGAGATATGTGTGTATGCATACACAATTTTGACAAAAATTAGCCATCGTTCACATTTAACGCTTCTGTCAATGCAAGGATATATATTTCAAAGTACAAATAAACATTTTTATTTTAATTATACTTTTTGTACACATTTCATTATGATGCTTTGAAGGTATCTATATCCCCATTCGAATAACAAAGAATAGTTTTACAGACTATCTCATTTTCACTTTTACATTTTTAAACTTTTACACTTTTAAATCTTGTGAAATTGAATATTACACTGTTCAATTATTACCCGGCTACTTACTATTAACACCTACTATTAATACCAATTACGGTCCGTCAAGGACATAGTCGATACTTTTCAAAAAGAGCCACAGTGAGTATATTTCGAGTATTGGATCGCTTACTTGTGCTTACCAAGCAAAAAAAAATTAACTCAATATGTTTATATATTATAATATTCATAATATAGAATAACTTATCTATTATTGACAATTTTTAACGTTATATTTCTTACTCATATATTACTGTTTATTATTTCTGTAAGGCCGTGAGAATGTG